AGATTTATATTACTTGTATTTATTTCTTATTAATGCCTATATATAAGTATCTCCCTATATTTTTATCTTTATTATAGATTTCTATATTTCCATTTTTATATTATTTATTTAAAATCCCTGCTTCTAACCAAATAAAAAACAAAAATCCCCTGTGGTGGTGCATGTGTATTTCTGGTTTGATACGGTGCTCTGCATATGCATTTTGGGTTGAATATAGTGATGTGCATTTATTTGTGGTTAAACATGGATGTGCATCATCAACCCTCCTCCTCCTTCTCTTCCCCTGGGGGCCAGGGAAACTTCCAGGGATGTGGGGTTTGAGGGTTTTTGGGAGGGATTTGGGGGGTTACTGGAGGATTTGAGGACCCCAGGCCGAAAGGCCCCAGTTGTGGGGGGGACTTGGGATCCTCAGAGAAACTGGGGAGCTCTGGGGGTGGGGCGGAGGGAGGTTTCCAGGGGGCGGTCTTTAGGGAATTTGGGGTCCCCAGGGGCTCTGGGGGTGTCAGGGAGAGCCGAAAGAGCAGCAGGACCCCACAGCTGGAACAAACAGCCTTTAATTGGGGGGGGTCGCCCCCCACCACAGCCCCCTCCTCATCTCCAAGCCCCCCCCCGGCAGAGCCCGCTGCAGGGGCACCCACAGCCCGGTAGGAGGAAGGGCGGGGGGGGGCTGTCCCTGGGGCCCCCCCAGGCTGCCCCCCAGCCCCCTCCCCAGCCCGGCCGGGGCCGCTTTGGCTGAAGCAGGTAGGGACAGAGGGGGGCAGGGCGGCGCGGGGCGCCGTGGGATGTGTCGCGACAGGGGGGGTCACGCCGGGCCATGTCACGACAGAGCCGGCGGCAGCAGCATCGTGATGGTTCCGCGTCCTGGGGGACTCTGGGGGGTTCCGAGCGCCAGGCTCCGGGGTCCCGTGAGGGTCTGAGGGCATCCCTGGGTGGTTTGGGGGGGGCCGGGGGGTCCCAGGGGAGCTCCGGGCTCCAGAGCCGGGGGGATCTGGGTGGGTCTGGGTGGGCCCGGGGAGGGTCTGGGGAATCCCAGAGAGGTCTCGGGGCATCTGCGGGGTCCCAGTGGGGTCTTGGGGGGTCCCACAGGGGTCTCGGGCTGTCCAGCAGGGCCCTGGAGGGCTCCGAGTTCCAGAGCTGGGGAGCCCAGGGTGGTCTGGGGTGGTCCTGGGCAGCCCTGGGCAGCTCTGGGCTCCATGGTCTGGGGTCCCACGGGAGTCTGGAGGGGTTTGGAGGGTCCCAGAGGGGTCTGAGGGCAGCCTGGGGGGCCTTGCGGGGCTCTGGGCTCCAGATTTGTGGGGCCCGAGAGGGTCTGGGGGGGGTCGGGGGAGGTGGGGAGGGGTCTGGGAGTTCCCAGGGGAGTCTGGGGGGCTTTCGGGGTGGGTCCTGGGAATCCCAGGGTGGTTTTGGGGCGTCCCAGGGGGACCTGGAGGGATCCGGGGTGTCCCAGGGCTTCTCAGTTCTCCAGATTTTGGGGGCCCGAGGGGGTCTGGGGGCGCGGGGGGGCCCACGGGAATCTCTGGATTGGGAGGGTCCCCAGGGTGGAGGGTCTGGGCTGAGGGCCCGGAGGGCAATGGGGGTCCAGCCTTCATCCCCCCCTGCCGCTTCCTCCGCCTGGGGGGGCTGTGGGGACCTCCAAAAGGGGGGGGCTGCCGGCAGGAGCCCCCCGGGACCACCCCAGGCCTGGGTAAGCCCCCCGGGGGTCTCATCCTCCTCATCCTCGGCTGAGCTCCATGAGAAAGGGTTCTGGGGGTGAGGAGGAGGGGTCAACAAACCCCCCCGGGACACTCCCAAAAACAGGGGGGGAACCACCCCCCAAAATTCCAGACTCACCTCCTGCTCTTTGAGGGCTCCAAAAATGGGGCTGGGAGCACGGGGGGGTGGCTGCGGGGGGGGATGGGGAGGGAGCAATTTAGGGTAAGTTTTGGGCCACTTTCGGGGTACTTTGGGGGCACTTTTGAAGTCCTCTTAGGGCACTTTCTGAGGCACTCACTGTATTGACAGCACGAAGTGGGCTGGGAGTTCTGGCAGGGGGGTCCCCCATCTTCCACCCCCCCAAACTGACTGCTCGTCCTGGAGGTCTCGGTCTTCCTTCTTGCCGGGGGGCCCTGGGGGTCCCCAGACCTGCTGAAGACAACACTTGATTTGGGGCGGGGAGGTGCACCCCTCTGGTGCCCCACTCCCTCCCCCTGGGGTGGGGGCAGTACCTGGGGGCTGGGCCAGGGTCCGGTGGGCCAGGAAGACCCCCAGGTCTGGGGGTCCCCGTCGGTGCCTCCTGAGCACAGCCAGCAGGCTCCGGCGCCGCTCGCTCACCAGCTCCCGCCCCCCAAACACCCTGAAACTGCTCAGGAGCGAGGCCAGACTGGCCACCAGATCCTTCACCCCCCCGACCTCTCCCTCCTCGATTTGGGGGGCCGGAGGGGGGCCATCCCCACCAGGGGCAGGGGTCAGCAGGCGCCGGACGTCGAGAGATTTGACCTCGTGGTTGAAGAGGCCGCGGTGGCACAGCCGCTTCTGGGTGATCACCACGGGTTTGGGGGGGCCCAGGGGGCTGCCCAAAGCGAGAGCCCCCCACAGGGGAGGCTGCAGCCAGCGAGGGGGGCCGGTGGGACCCTGCCGGGAGCCCCCCAAGGGCAGCTTTGGCCCGAATTTGGCGGCGTTGCGTTCCCGTTTGGTCCGGAGGCGTTTGGATTTGGAGCGGGTGGGAATGGGGAGGGGGCAGTGCAGGGGGGCCCCCAGGGCCCCCGGGCGGTGGCTCATGGTGGCGCCTGGGAAAAAGCTGGAAAAAGGGAGGTTTTTGAGTTTTCCCCCTCAGGATCCCCATTCCCCCCATGGAACCTCTTGGTACTCAGATTCACCGTAATTCACACCCCCAGGACCTGGTAATTACCCCCCAGTCCCCCAATTTCACCTTAGTTTCGCCCCCAGAGCCTCCCATTCCCCCCTGAGTACCCTCAGGACCCCCAGTTCCCCGCAGGACCCCCATTTCCCCCTCAGCCAGCCCCCGATATCACCAGCCCCGCCCCGAAGAGCCCTCAAGCCCCACTTCAACCCCCATTTTCCCCTCAGATCTTCCCCCAGAGCTCTATATTCCTTTCTACAACCCACACTTCCCCTTAGGACGCCCCAGGACTCCCAATCCTCACCAATTCCCCCCGTTTTCCCCAATTTCTCCCCAGTTCTCCCACCTGCTCCGAGGCCTCGCCCCCTCACGCGCCGGTGGGCGGGGCCAGCGCCGGCTCGTGCCGGCGGCCGTTGGGTGCCGGGGCTCGCTCGAGTTCTCCCGCGCTTCGCTCCGATTGGCCCGCACGGCCCCAGAGCTCGGGCGCTGATTGGTCGAGAGCGCGGCGGCGGGAAAAGGCGGCGCTCAGAGAGAGGGGCGGGGCCTCCGTGAGAGGGAGGCGGGGCGGGGCTGAGGCGAGTTGGGAATAATGAGGGAAAGTGGGGGAAAAACAGGGAAAATTCGGCAGAAACATGGACGCAAAAGGGGAGAAAAGGGGCACATTGAGGGAAATTTGGCGCGATGGGGGAGAATTGGGGGGATATGGCGATAGTGGGGTGAGATGGGAGGAGAATAGAGAGAATGGGAAATAATGGGGAGAAATGGGGATAGAGGGAAAATAGGGATAGTGAGGGGAAATGGGGGGAAATTGGCGGATAGTGCGGGGAAATGGGACATAGTGGGCTAAAAATTGGAATAATGGGAAATTGGGAGAAAATTTTGCAGAAAATTGAGGGGAAATAGAGATGGTGGAGAAAGGAGCAAATGGGAGATAATGGGATGGAATGAGGGACTTGCAGAAAATGAGGGATAATGAGAAAAATTGGGAAAAAAGGGGGGGAAACGGGATAAAAATAAAACATGGGAAGTTTTGGATAATGGGGGGAATTATTAATTATTTATTATTTATCACTACTATTTAATAATAATATTTAGTGTTTGTTATATTTAATAATATATTATTAAATACTAGAATATTTTAAAATTAATAAAATTAAAGCTATACTAAAATGTTATATTATTTAATAATTTATTATTTTAATAATGTATAATATTGCATTATAAAATAATTATTATATTATCGTTGTTAATTATTACTTAATTATTAATCACTTAATAACATTATTATTGTTATTGTTAGTGTTATTGTTATTATGCTAAAATGGGGGGAAATTGTAAGGAAAATAGGGGGGGAATTTGGGATATTGGAGGAAAATGGAGGTCTCATCCTCATTATTTATTCACAACTTATTGAAGATTCATCAATTGTTTATTAGCCATCTATCCGCTGCAGGCGAGAGGGGGTCCCCCAGCACCCCCCAGACCCTCACCAGCTTTATTGGGGTGGGGTGGGGGCTCAGCACAGCCTTAAGTTCCTAAAGCAAAGCCTTTGTGGGGTGGGGGGCACGCAGGGGTTTGGGGAGGGGTCCCGTGAGATGATTTTGGGGGTCTTTTAAGGCTTCTCCAGCAGGCCGTCGGCAGCGGGGGGGGTCCCCACGTCCTGGTAGGTGGCTTGGACCCCCCGAGAAATGTCCTCGTACATGGAGCACTCATCCAAGTTCAGCCCCTGCGGAGGGGGAAATGGGGGTGGGGGGGGTTGGTTTGGGGGTGATGAACGCCCCCTCCTCCCCAGCCCCTTTCTGGGGGCCTCACGGCCTCCCCCCCAGGTCACCTCATAAAGATTTTCCTCCTCCAGGGCGATTTTCTTGGGCTGGAGGAGCCGCTCATTGGCCCAGCGCTTCTGGGAGGGGAGAAAAAATGGGGTGCGGGGGGGGGGGGGGGGGTGGGGGGGAGC